CTGCAGTCCAGCCCACTTCCTGGCTGTTTAAAGTTGTGGCTTTAAGCTGTGCCTAAGTTTGGGGGTAATGTGTCACACGGTGATAGGTGATGAATACAGTGCCCTTTAGGCTCCACGAGGCTGCCGGGGTGGGGAGCTCCAGGCTCCTAGGAGGCAGACCCTCACCTAACCTGGAGAATGGGACTGGGAGAGAAACTCACCTTTTCCTGCCTGAGCCAGGGTGTGGGAGCGGGTCCAGGGAGAGTATCCTCTGTCCTTTCCTCTCTCACCACCTGTCCAGACACACCCCCCTCTTCTGTTGCTCTCAGGAGAAAATGGTGGTGTCATGGGTGTGTTCTCCGTGTTATACTTTGGGGCCTCAATAGAAAGAGGTTTTTTATTTAGAAGAACAATGTCTTGCTGAAGGTTTAATGATTAACTTTAGGGAAATGAGCTGCAGAACTGAAGAGGCGAGAACAGCTGCCGCTCCCCAACTGTCCCAAGGCAGACAAGAAGGGCGCTTGTTGGCAGTGGAGACCCCCATGGGGAGCAAAGATGGAAATGATGCCATTAGACCGTCTTCCTGAACATCTCAGAAGGGCCTTTTGACACGAATCCTGCCAATTTGTCTCCTGTCCTTCTCCACAGGTCAGGAACAGAGGGCTGACTGAGAATGTGTGTCGTAGTCAGGACAAGTCTCCAGTGGAATTTGGGGGCTACCATATTTCTCCACCTTTTTTTTCTTTAAACCTGTAGCACTGAATAGTTATAGCTCAACCCAGTCCCCAAGCATCTCAGTGAACAGCTGATGGAAAAATTCAACAAGTGTCTTCAGCAACTTCCCCTCAACTCACAAACAGGAGGAGTATGGTTATTTTCTTCCAGGAACATGTTGTTTTCCCGGGCAAATTTTAAAGCCAGGTGATTTGGGATTTTCATGCCTCCTTCTTCCTTCAACTAATCTTTCCTGTGCCTCTTGCCTATCAGGACCTGTGCCAGGGTTGAGGTTACAAAGACAAACACAAAATACAATACTGTTTCCATCTCCACGGGTTGAAAAGCCAGTGGAACAAATATGTAGATACGGTTTTCCAAGGGAATGAGAAATGTTAGTAAATCATCTATCAAGCTAAAAATAAAGAATGGAAGGAATAAGTAAAAGTGATTTCAAGAGGATTTTATTTTTCCTCGGGCGCTATCCATTTTGGAGGAGACCTGACAAAGACTGGCTTCTCAAATGACCTGGCTCTTGTCACTTGTAGTGGTCAGGATGGCCGGCACATGATTTAAAGGGGCAGCTGGAGCCCACAGCTACGTGCACACATACACACACTGCTGGGCTCAGGTCCACCAAAGATGCTTCTCTATTAATATGTTGGAGAAGCAGGGCCTTTCTCTCGCCTAGGGTGTTTGTGACTTAGGATGAAAACTCTGGGCACTTATATTACAGCAATTACGGTCTCTCTCTAACCTCAGCCCCTTGGAACGGCCTGCTCCCTCCGAGTAGGTTTTCAAGTACTGGGGATGCTTGATACATGGCCCTGAAAATTGAACTCAGGTGCCCATCCCAAAGTATTTTGGCAAAGAATCAGCAGTGAAGTGAATGGGGTCGCTTCCAAATGAGCTGAATGTTCACACTTGCCTCATTCCCAGAAAATTCTTGAAGAGTTATAGGGAGGCAGTACAGGGGCAATCAGGTGGTCTCGGAGAACAAGCCCACACTCCCGCCCCAGCTCCCCCACCCGTGCTCATCGGCTGACCTTGTGGGAAACCCGCCCCACCCCACGCCCCCAACTCATTTTCCTCATTGGTAAAATACCTTTATTTTGCACTTTGGGCAAGTCAGTCTCAGAAACTAAATTTTTCTTCCTCCCCCAAATGGATGGAAAACTAAGGCCAGAGAGGAAAAGAGCTTTGTCCAAGATCACAGCAGAGCAGGGCTGGGACCACAACCCAGCCCTTCGATCTGCAGACCCTACACCATTTCCACTCCACTTCGACCTTGTTCAGGTCCACTCGCCCAGTATTGGTGGTCGTCGGTGTGCGTTCAGATGAATCAATTTCTCCCCAAACCTTTATGAACTCCGTTGGAGGCATCACACTTTAAACACCTCCAATGGATTTCCGGTCAAAAGAAAACAAACCTCAGCGCCAAGAGTCCTTGCAGCCGCAAGGATCAACCCCAGTGCCTCCATCTCCCCTCTTGGGGCCCCCTAAGGACTGAGCAGCTCCTGCTACTTTTAAGGGGGGCGGAATGCATTCTGGTGTGCAAACATTATCACATATTCATGCACCGAAAATCTAATTTTAGCTGCAAGAGGCCTCATTATAAGATGCTCACATAATTAAGCAGCTTCCTTCCCAGGGTTTGGAAGCCTGTCTATTCTTCTCTCTCATTTATACATCACTGGGCCTATCAGAATGAGTTTTCATTTTTAAAAAAATTATATACTTCGGCTTTTCCAAATTGATCCACAATGGGGGTGAAATCCATGAAAATGAGATGTTTTAACACAGGTCTGGGTAACTCCACAAGCCTTGGTATTAAAGTTGGAATCTGTGGATAGTCACGGCTTCCCTGTTCTGATCTGACTGGCTCTGGATGCGTTTGTCACACTTCTGTCCTGAATACAGAGCCTTACTCCTTGGCCAGCTGGGATCCTCTCTGCAGAGAAACTGAGGGCTATAGATGAGACCTAACTTGAAGAGAGACAAATGGACCTTCCCCAAAGGACAGACATAGCCCCTTCCTGTGCTTCTCAGGGGCTGACTCCCAGGGCAGGGGGGTGATGGCTGCTGAGGACCATCAGCATCCAGGGCCTTAGAGCTTCCTCCCTCACTCAGGATCTGGGAGCACCTGCCAAGTGCTGGCCACACGAGTGGACTCCACTCGATCCAGATACACCCGACCCCATCATCCCACTCACCTGCATGCCTGGCTAAGGTGCACAGTAAACTACAAGGCCATTGAGCAGGTGGCACTCCACCTGGAAAGAGAGGAGGTCTGTGGGTACCCGGCAGCAGGGAACATACACACCCATCTACTGGGAGGAGCGGGCTGGTGCTGTTCTCCTGACTCTTGGGGTGGTGGGGGAAGCCCAGGAGGTCATACTCTGGCTGCAGTCTTGGCTGGTCCTCCAGCCACTCTTGTGGCCTCACAGCCCCCTTGGCATCTGAGCCTTCTCCTCGGAGATCGTCTGGGTGGTCAGGAGAGTGGGGGCCAGAGCCAGGGAGCCAGTCTCCAGAGGAGGCCAGCTTCCATCTTCCCCATCACTCAGAGCTGCTGTCTCCTTTGAGACTCTGCATTTGATTTGGGATGCAGATATCCCCTGGCCCCCACTTCCAAGGCAGTGTGGAAACTCCTGGTGGGTCTCCAAATGCTCTTACAACTTGGGAGGACCCGCCTCATGGGAGGGGGTCGTCACAGACTTAACCGTGGAGCTATGCTACATTGATAATCATTTATAAAGACCCCAGTGTTTCCAGCTTGGAGCTGAGTGGAGTGCAGCTCTGGGAAGATGGGAAACAGACTTGGCCTCAGTGTGGGTTTGGGGGAAACTCAGGGAGAACCTGGAGGCCACCAGAAAGAGATGCTCAAGGCCATTCACCAGTGAAATGGAAGGCTGAGGAGGCTTCCCTCTGAGGAAGGGCAGCTCCCCTGGCCCCTCCAGCCCACCTGCCCACTGGGGTGCCTCTCCCTCCCCATCACTGGCCAGGGAGCAGAGGACCAGACATCCCCACACTCAGCTCTCACAGAACCCTCATGCAGTTTTCTCCTCTTGATGCAGCTTGACTCAGGTGGGGGAAGTTCAGCCCAGCCAGCTCAGCCAGGGTGACCCCAGAGCTGGAGAAGTGGCAGGGGGGCTCAGGGGCTGCCCAAGTGCAAGATCACCTGCCGTCCTCCCCTTCACGGGTCAGTGCGCTCCTGGGCTCACCCCCACCCTCCAGGCCTGAGCCCCCTGGTCTTCAGAGCCTCATTTCTGAATCCAAGATGTGCAGTGAAGGGTGACCCAAGAAGGTGATCAGCACAGCACCCCTGCCTCTCCCAGACCGAGCACTAAGTGGCTGTAAGGACAGAGTCCCTTTCTGTGTTCCCTCTGTCCTCACCCACCCACTCCTGTGCTCCTGCTGCACAGACTCAGAGAGACACACACGCCCCACATCCATTCACCTGTTTTGCAAAACACTTGAGGGTCTTCCAAGCCTCTGAGCCTTTGCACATGCTGTTCTCCCTGCCTCAGTTACCCTTCCCCTCTGCTCTGCTGGAATCAGCCCTGCACATTCCTTAAGACCAGTTCAAAGCTGCTGTGATGCCTTCCCCGAAGACCTCAGGCTCACGGGCTGACACCGTCTGAGCCCGCACAGCACACACACGCCTCCGTTACTGGGCTTCTCACTCCCCTGTGTGACAGCCCCTCTCCCGTCCCCCGCTAGACTGCTGAGCGGGGCGGGGCCTTAAGATTCCATCTTCTCAGGAGGCCTGGAGGCCTGTACACAGCAGGCGCAGGGCTTGTGACTGGCCTTCCCCTTTTGTTGAGGGAATGGATGAATGAGTGGGAAAGATGTCAGCCCCACTGGAGCAGAGACAGAGGGTGTGACAAAAAGGCCCAGTGACAGGAAGTGGTGGGTGAGTAACAGAGGGACAGAGAGGGCAGGGCCAGCGAGGGTCAGGCAGAAGCTCAGCTAAGGCCTCTCCCCCAGCGTCCTGTGGATGGGCCTTGCGGCCCCCCTTCCTCACAACCCTGGTGTTGTGGGTGGCCCTGTGGAGAGCAGGTGCCTGTCAAGATGGGTGGGGCAGCCAGTCGCAGTGACCCCGACTCATCCCTCCTGGGTCTCCCCACGCCCCCAACCCGCCTTCTGCTGGCATTGCTGGTCTCCGGCCCCTGGGGTCTCGGGCTCCCCTGGAGGTGCAGCCCCACCCCTGCCCCACTGTCTCCTCACCCTCACACCCTGCTTCCGGGATATGACGCAAATCCCCAGCTTTATGGGGACAGTTGGAGAAAGAAGCCAGGCAACGAGGCACCAGTCCAAGGAGTGCTGATATTGGATGAGGTGGTGGGGGGTGCACAGAGCTTGCGGCCGGTCCTGAGGTTGGCGTGTGCGTGCGTGTGTGGCAGAGGGCTCCACTCTGCCCGTGGTGCAGACAGCCCATCCGCAGAGAAGAGAGAGACAGGGCTGCGGAGCCGGCGGTCAGTGCCTGGGCCTCACACCACACACGGTGGGATGCAGACGCCATCAGGCTGCCTGGCCCGGCAGCCACAGTCTGTAAGCCCACCTCAGAGAACTAGTACCCGCCCAGCCCAGCATCCCGCAGTCAAGGACCCCAGCCAGCAAGCCGGCACCGGGCTGCGAACAGGAAACCCAGGGCCTCCGACAGCCCAGGGTGCACCTGTGTGTCTATGTGTTAGAGAGACAGACAGGCAGCCTCTGGAACACATCACCTGGCGTGTGCATCGACGTCTGACTGCGTCTGCGTGCGGGAGTGTCGGGCACACCCAGCGTGGTGGCTTAGGTGCATCACTACGGCACTGTGAGCAGGGAGTCTAAGAGGGTCTAGCTAGGAATGTGTCCCCCTTTGCATCTGTCCTGTGACATCGGGTCTGCCTGGCCGGAACTCATGTCCGGGTCTCCCTGCGCAAGAGGGAGGCAGCCCCCGGGCGTCTGAGCATCCCAGGGAGGCGCCGGGGACCGTCCGCGCATGCGCGCAGCCCCGTTGGGGCGGCTGGCTCCCCGCAGGGTGGGCAGAGCGGGCCGGGGCTTATCATCTGGGCACATACTCCTGGGGGAGCCCGGCCCAGTTGTGGTCACGCAGGGCCTGGTCCACCGTCCGGATGTAGCCGTTGATCAGGTCCTTCATCTCCGGGGTGAAGAGCTCGGGGTCGTGGGGGCGCCGGCCGCGCCGCCGGAAGCTGCCCTCCTTGTTGTTCTCCACGCAGAGCAGCCGCTCCTCGCTCACCGACACATTGAGGAAGGCCACCATCTCCCGCAGCGTGGGCACCAGGCTGCGCTGCAGCTCCTCGTAGTGCACCACCAGCAGCCGCTTGCCGTACCTGAGCCAGTCCAGCACGTGCGAGGACCACCAGGACGCGTAGCTGTTGACGAAGTCCGGCCACTCTGGGGCGGGGAGACGGGGGCACCGCATCAGTCCCGTGCCTGCGGGGCGGCTGGCCTCCCGGGGGCTGGTATCCCCCACCGCCCACCGCCCAGGGCCAGCCTGTCCGAGCCCCGACGCAGGGAGACCCTCTTGGAGACCTCGTGCCAGGGAGAGTTGCTAGCAGGCTGGGCTCTGAGGCGTCCTAACCCCCCTGGGAGGTGTGACCTTAGGTCTGCCTTTCCCCAGCAGTTTCCTTGGAAACACACCAAGTTAAGACAAATGTGGACTGCGGGTTCCCAGGGCTGGTTCTCCATCTGGTGGACTGTGGCTTCCTTGAGCCTGGGGTCTCAGGCCTACTGGACGCAGTGGAGTTAAAGACCAATGGCCGGCATCTCTGCCGAGATGACCCTCATCCACCTTTTCTTGTCTGGAGACTCTGCACATCCAACCCTGGTGAGCCAGGCCAAGCTGGGCCTCCTGGGGAGGCGGAGATGCTGTGCGGGCTGGATCTCCCGTCCTGGGTCCCACTACACAGCTATGTGAAGGGGGTGTCTAACTGCTGTTTCTCATGCCCTGTGGGTGGGACTGCCAGTCTAACCTGGGACCCCGCTGGGCGGTGGGGCATACAGTGAAGCCATGAACAGGGGCAGCGGCCGACTTTGCAGATGAATCTACTCCATGAGACTTCTTTTCCAGCAAATTAAGAAGTTATGTAGGTTTGGGAGGGGGCATGTGGGGAAGGGTGCAAATGTCATGAATCGCCCCAATAAAAACAGTTGCCACCTCAGATGCTGTGGGAAGCACTTGCTTTCTCTAATCTTCACGATGACCCTATGAGATTCAGACCACCCTTCTTTTTAAGGCGAGAAAACCGAGGCTCGGAAGATAAGGTCTGCAGTTTGCCCTGGGTCACTGGGCTGGGAAGAGGGCCAGGAGGGATCAGAGCTCAGCCTGCCTGCATCCTCAAGGGAAGTCAGCAAGAGAGGGCAAGGATAGCTGGAGTCGGGAGGTCTAGGGGGAGGGCGATGGGGAAAGGGGAGGACAGCAGCCAGCCTCAGCTGACCCGGAGTCACGCAGGGACAGAACAAGGCTGCCTGGCCTCAGGCCCCCCCATCTTATCATGCCATCCACACTGCTGGACACAGTTGTATTTCTGATGGCTTAATTTTACATCACTCACTACCCTGACTTGTGTCTCTTTAATTCATTGCCCAAAGGCTAGACTGAGCATGCCGTGAGGACAGAGATCATGGCCCCCTTTAGCTTGGGCCCCCAGTGTCTTGCCCAGGGCCTGGCACCCAGTAGGACTTCAGTAAGTGTCAGCAGACTGACTCCGTGAATAAAGTTGCAGTGGGTCCCCCTGGCCCCTTCTGCTCACCTTTGCTCTTCCAGTTACGATCAGCTGCGTAGCCCAGGTGCCCGGCGCATTTACGATTGAACTCGGCTACCAGGGACCTGTACGGGTTCCGGATCAGCAGGATGGCGGAGTCGAACATCTCAATCTCCCTCCTTCCGCTCTCGTGGGTCTTCACGCAGATGGTGCGCCGGCTCCGCCAGTGGTCCTTCTCGCCCTTGAACCCTGCCCGGGAGAAAGAAGACGGCCCTTGGGAGGAAGGCATTGTGGGGCCCCCACTACCAAAGCAGCGGACAGGTCTGAACGCTAACCTGCACCCCTGAGAGAGAGCTGAGATTGGGGGCACAGCTGAGGGTGCTGGGGGTGCCTGTGAATGGCTGATAGGGCCTGACCCTGCCCAAGAGACAGTGAGAGCAGGAGGCATCCAAGACTGGGGAAGGATGGTGTCTCCAAGAGCAAGGAGATAAGGCACTTCCTGTAGACTGCAGAAGTCAGGAGGCAGAGGCCCAACCGTGCCCCTTCTCTGGATGCTGGAGATGCATATGTCCCGGCAGCGTCATGGCACTCTCACCTGAGCATTGCAGGCAACCCTGTGAACTGACCATGGCTGCAGGCGCAGCCAGATGAAGAGACTGAGGCTCACTGTGGGTATGTGACTTGCTCAGGATCACACAGCACCCCAGCAACAGAGCCAGGGCTCTCTCCACACTGCTTTATGTCCCTTTGAGGTCTGGCTTCTACCCACCTCCCCACAGAAGGGGCAGGCTCCCTTTCAACAGACTCAAGGGCTGTCAGCAGCTGCAGCCCCACCTTCTGGCTTTATGCCATGGTCCTGTAGCAGGGCCTCAGCCTTACATCTCCGGAGACTCTCACTCATCCCTACAGAGTAACCCACTTATCAACAAAGATTATTGTGTTGGACTCTATGTCGGGGGTAAAGGGTTAGGACCCAGACCCTGTCTTTAAGCTTACAGTCTGGCAGGGGACTAGCCCACACGTACTACAGCGCACAGGGGCTTAACGGAACAAAGAATAAGGGGAACTGGTCAGGGGGTGGAGCGAGATGTCGTAGAAGGCTCCTGGAAGGATACCCCTGAACCTAGTCCCCTGGCCACATCCCAACATAGCCCATGCCATCCAGCTCTGGGGACATGCTCCATAAATGTGCATAAGCTTGTCTTGGGCTCTTAGAAACATACATGAGTCCCCCCCACCCCCCAAACACACACCCCTTCATGAATGGCCGGGAAGCATCTGTATCTACAGTGAGCAGCGAGGGAGTCTCTGAAGCCTGGAAAATGCAAGTCTCTTCTGAATCCGGAAATCTGGGGTCACCTATTGAAACTCAGCACCTGTTTCAGACTCATCTCTGCCACGGGCCAAACACGAAAAGTCTTTGCTTTGATTCATTCTGTTAAACAGCTGGGAAGTTCCGGGAAAGAATGAGTCAAACCATGGGCTGAGTAAACAGGAGATCAGGTCTTTGACACCCTATGGCCCAGGGTGCCGTTTTTACTGCCTCAGCCTATTTCGACAGCCACCACTTTTCCTTGTAACTCACACCACGCTCACCCATGACAGGTTTGGCATTTTGGCACTGGAGCTGCCTTGCAAAGTTCACGTGTGTGTGTCATTGCTCTGTCAGTGCTCTGAGGTCAGTGGCTACATCTAACCAGTCCCTTGAGGCTCAAAGATACGCTGGGTATCTCTAAAGCCATTTTGAGGCAGTGTGACCCCAACCCTTCCACCTGGCTATCGAGCCAGCGGGCCATTTAGCCATTTGTAGATGAAGACAGCCAGCTGTCTGAATAAGGAAGGTGGTGGCCTCCTAGGTGGGCGTGGTGGGTAGTTGGAGCCTGTCCGCAGTAGGTGGTGCCCAGGGGACTGGCCCAGAGCAGGCAGGACCACATGCTTCATCTGGCTACTTCACCCGTAGGTACCGTAACGCTCAAGACTCCCAAGGATGATGAACTGGGTTATGTGGACACCGCTGGTTTTTTCCCAAGCAGACCAAGACGGCTGTGGGCGATTTCAGAACCCTCTGCCAACCACAGCAAGTCTCTGTTTTCTCTAGGACGTTACTGATAGTATGTCCTCTTTTCCTAAACCAAGCTCTAAGCTGAGAACCCAGGAGAAACTGTTGTAACAATCGTCAGCAGAGAAATATATTTCACCAAATATAGATCCCACTTGGCTTATCTGAGGTTCTGAGTCTTAAACAGTGCAGAGATTTGAGCCATTTTAAAGTTCATTTACTTGACATAATGAGGCGTCTTATTTCTACAAAGGAAAGATTAGAAATCATTAAACTCTTGAAGATCTTTGGACCTATTTTTTAAAAGTAGTATTTTGATCGGCTACCCTTGCCTCAAGAAAAAATAGGAATGAGCAGATAAAGTCAGTTTCCCATAATTACTGAGGGTTCGGAAAATTAAGGAAAATTTGAGAGATGTTCATAGAGAGGGAACCTGAGCTACTGGGCGTTTCCTTTGACTGCAGCACAGATCTTGTGAGTTTTCCCTCCAGGTGTGTTCCTCGGGCTGGCCTCATCAGCATCCCCTGGGGGCTGGCAGAAATGCCAGCTCCTAGGCCCCGTCTCAGATCAACTGAGTCATACTCCCTGCAGGTGCAAACCAGGAATCTGTTGAATTTAATAAGCCCTCAGGATGATTCTTAAGCCCATTCAAGTTTAGGAAGGGTGATTCAGGTGCTCCAAGGAGGAGCCGGGCGGGAGAGGCCACGGGTCTGGGCGCTGGGAGCTGCCTCCCTCCCTCCCCTGCAGCCTGCGCTCACCTTTGTTGTACAGAGTTCCATCAAAGTAGTAGCTCCCTGTGTAGAAGCCAGTGGCGTGCTCGATGAGGTGCCGCGCCCACGTGTTCCCGGCTCCTGGGAAACTGGACAGAGCCACGAACACTTTGGATTTGGTGGGCAGGAACCTCCGGTCAGTACACCGGGTGTCTGAAAGTCCAGAAGGCATCTCAGGTTGCCCGCCTCCACCATGGCTCGCAGACTCGCTATCAGACTCCCCTAGATGGGAAGTGCTGATGCAAGACTCCCACTTAATTGATGGGAAAACTGAGGTCCGAAGAGGGGAAGGTGTTTGCCACCTTGACCTTGGTGGCACAGGTCTGGGGCTGGCCAGAGAAAGCCCCAGTGATGGCAAGGCCTCTCAGGGTAGGAATTGGGTGGGAACTGGCACCCTGTGGACCCCCAGCCCCCACTGCGTCTCCAAAGGGGTCACAGCCAAACCCTTCTGGCACAGCACGGATGATGCCAGATTCTGCAGGGGAGGTGGGTGGGGATCGTGGCCGGACAGAACAATGCCACACAACAGGCAGAGCAGCAACGAAGCAGGGCTGGACTAATTTCAGGCCAGTAAGCTCTCTGTGCCTCCTCTTCCTCCCCCAGGGCTGCTGCAGGGAGCCCAGGAAATCACCAGGTGAACGCCCCCAAGACCCCAGGGCTTGTCCCACCCCACCTGCTCTCCTTCTTATCTGCTCCTCTGACACTCTCGTGAGGAGGATGCTGGGGTCTGGGCACAGCCAGGGGCACTCACTGGTCTCCAGGTCCCGGGCTGGCCCAGGGAGGTCCCTGTGACCACTGGGCTGCCCTGCCACCCAACCCCACCACCTTGCCATTGCTATCTCTCAGGGCCTTGCCTCCCTGCTCTCCCTCAAACCACCTTCATCCCCAGAGAGACTCAGAAAAAGGTCAGATGCTCTTCAAACTGAGCCCTGCATGCTGGGTCCATCCTCCAGCGATGGCAGAGGTCTCCCCGTTCCCATTAGCCCAAGAAGGGACCACCCACCAAGATCTCCCCCTGCCCCAGGCTATACACTCAGCCATGGCGGGCCTCTCCCAACCCCAAGGCCAAGTGTCACAACCAGTGGGAGACACAGGAGGAGGAGGACCCTGCCAACCTGCCCACCTGCCCACCTCTGAGGCAGAACCCACCTTGCACGGGTGTCTGGTAGACCTCGCAGTACTCGGCCAGCCTCTGTGCCTCAGGCTCCTGGCCACACAGCGAGGCGTCCACAGCATCCCGCAGGTTGAACTGGGGGGTGGGGTAAGCACAGTAACACTCCCAGCCCCTGAGGATGGCCAGGGGGAACTCCTGCCAGGGAAGGAAGAGAGAGGAAAGAGGAGCGTCTTGGGTGAATGCAGGGGCCAAGCTCCCGCAGCTCAGGCACTGGGGGAGCACGTGGGATGTCCTGCCAGCTGCCTGGGATGAACAGAGGTGTCCATCCATCCTTCCAGTATTGGGCTCTGGGCCCTAACCCAGGGGGGACAAAGCTCAGTGAGAAGGGACCTCTGCCCTCCAGTAGCTCATCACTGGCTGGCGACAAATCAACCGTTACCCCACAGTATGAGCGGAGCTCCTATGGAGGGGCCAGTCCAGCGGGTGGACTGGGACTGGACTTTGGAGATGCCTAGGGGGTCAGGAAGGGGCTAGACACTGTAGTTGGGGAATCATCTGAACGAACGTGTGTGGGGGTCAGGATGGGATGCAGAAGCCCCCTAGGGTAGCTCCGCACTCAACATCTTTAACCAACAGACTGTGAGCCCCGAGTGAGGTCTGGAATTCCCTCCCACCAGCCCTCCCTGGGAAGAGACCGGCCTAAACCCTGTTTCTGAGGTCCTGCTGTGGGATGGGGCACAGGGCTGGCGAGGGAACCCCACACAGCATCTCTCCAGGACGGGAGGGGTGGGCACCAGCAGACCTTGATTCCTTGGAGTTGCTCAGCCTGGGGGGGCTTCCCGAAAACAGAGGGGCCCTGCCAGGGTTAGGAAAGGGCCACGCCAGCCCCTGGCAGGCTTTCACACGTTTTCTCCTTCCCTCTGGGGAAGCTGCACCCACCACACAGTGGAGAGAGCGGGGGCGCTGGCCTCCGGAAAGCCTGGATGTGAATTCAGGTCAGGGCAGGGTCACCTTGAACCTCTCTGAATTTCACAGTGAAACAAAGGGGATAAAGCCCACCCTGCACATTCGTTGCGAAGGCTAGCTGAGAAAGATCCAGATGGCCCCCGCTGGGCCCAGCACACAGTAGGCGCTTTCCCCGAGGAACTGGCCGTCCTCAGCCTGCTTATCCCTGTGGGCATCAGCCGCGCTCGCTCAACGATTCCTCCACCTCCGCTCCCACACTTATGACTTGAGGCCCTACTATGTGCCAGGCGCTAGGCAGAACACTTGGCCCCATTTCAACTCTGCCTCTCCGTGCATCTTGCAAACAGGAGATGCGAGGTCCCCCCGGAGCACAGAGAGAGGAGAGGAGTCTCTTGAGTGCGTGTGAAGGAGGAAGGGAGGGAGGCAGTGGGCGGAGAAAACGTCTCATGGCTGAGGGAAACGCTGAACAAACCTTTTTATTTTTTGCCCACAGCAAAATCGCATAAATAAATAAATAAAAGAAAATCAATAGCGTTTTCTGAGCGTGGCTTGGCAGAGCCGAGGATCTCAGCCCTCAGAAAAGACAAGAGGTGGTGTCCTAGCCAAGGGAGGGCAGTGCAGAGCCTGGGGTCCAGGAGGGGTCCTAGGAGGGAAGGGGATGGAAGGCTGTCCCCAGGGGAGGGCTGTTCTCAAGTGCAGGCGGGATGCTCTCCCAGATGCCTCGCAGCTCCTATGAAGGCCTCTCCCTGCCTCCCTTGTCTTGCGCCAAGGCTTCGGGGCAGCTTCACCTCTGCCAGGAATTTCAGCAGGGTCCAGGCCCATGGTCCCCTCTCAGGACCGAGCTGCCACGTGGGGACATTAGAGAGGATGCGTTCACTGTTCCTACACTACATACCCCTACACACACACCCACACCCACACACTCCTACATACACACACACACATATACACATCTCTACACACACATACCCCAAATCTGTTTCCAGAACTCAGCGCTCCCTTTTGGATTAGAAAAACGCTATACAGTCCTTGGTTCCAGGAGCAAATCACTTCCTCTTTTGGAACCTCAGTTCCTCTATCTGTAAAATGGACATAGCCCTTAATTTGGCCTGTCTGCAAGAGTCAGAGGACCTCATTTCTCTCCCTCTGGTCCACTGACAGGGCCAGTGAGACCTGGACATCTCTCCTCATGCCTTTTCTGGATGAGGTTTGAGTTGGGGATTTCTCCCAGGAATGGGGAAAGGGGGGAGGTAGTCATTCTGGGTGTCCATGGGTTTGTGTCCAGAGGTGCCAGGGAGAAGCACCGGGCAGCAGAGAAAGCACCAGGTTTACAATCCAACAGACCTGGACTCAAATCCTAGGACCACAGTTTAATATCTGTGTGACTTTGGGCCAGTAACTGACCACCCCTCCACCCCCTCCTTGCTGAGCCTCGGCCGTCTCATCTGTCGCATGGGCACAATAATATTCGCACTGAAGAGTGCTGGGTGAATGAAGGGAGGATGATGCAGGGAAAGGGCCCAGGCCAGGCCCAGCACGTAGTAGAGTCTCCTACTCTCATCTCTGAAGGTCTCTCATTGTACGGGAGGTGGGCCCCAGACCACCTTCCTGACACTCAGAGGACCTGAGAGCTTGGCTCCTAAAATTCCTCACTTTGGCTCCCCCTCCAAGGCCCCCAAAGCTCAGGATCAAGCAACAGTGGGAAGCCCCTCCCCCAAGGAGCACGTGGGGCCCTTAGTCTTGATCCGACACGTAAAGAAAAGAATTGCTTTGTGTACTCAGTGGCCACCATGAGGCCCTAACGCCGCAACCTGCACAGCCTGGGCCACAGCTGCCGTCATTGTCACTTATTTACCTGGCTTACTGTCTGCCTCGATCCAGGAGAATGTAAGCGGGGATTTTGGTGTGTCTGGTGGGCTTTGCTGCATTCTCAGTACTTAGAACAGTATCTAGAACAGGGTGGATGCTTACTGAACGTTTGATGGATGAACCAGTGAATGAATGAATACCCTTTCCAGATCCCAACTACGCCCCCAGAGTTGTTGGCGATGGGCTTGGACGTAAGCCTTCTGTTGGTCATCTGCTCGCCGGGCTTGAATAAAGAGAAGAAAACCTGTCACACCCGAGCAAACCCCTCCCCGACAACAGGAACCCCAGGGGGCTGTGCTGTCCTGGGATTCCTGTTCAGACAAGAACATTTCATCAACAGAATGAAAAAAAAGTGTGTTCAGGGCGGGTTGGTTCTGTCTCCCTCTCCGACAGTGAGGGTGCTGCTGACGCTGACACCTCACAATCCTATCTCCTGGGGCTGGGTCCCGGCTGCCCCCGACCGTGACCCGAACCTTTTTGCTTCCTTGAGTGGATTAAACTGTCAAGTTTCCGGGTGTTTGCCGAGCGACGGGAGAGCCACAGACAGTAATGTGGTTTTATTTACAACATAACCTCTTCAGCAACATCACTGGATTCTGAAAACACAGAACAATTTTCAGCCTCTGGGGGATTTCTAAGACATGATTTCCATAAAAATTAAATATTGATGAATCTTATCTCTCTGCCAACCTCCCTGCTCCCCGCACTTCCACCCTAAGCCCAAGTGAGAGGCAGAGAGAAGGGGAGAAAATGAACTGAAAAAGCAAAGCAGCAGAAGAAAGCGGGGACAGAGATGTGTGACTGTTTCAATTAAACAGACGCGGCGTTAGAGAGGGAGCTGGCGCAGCTGAGTCCGCAGGCGGGGTGGGGCAGGCGCATCCTAACCCTGCACTTCCTCCACAGCCTGAGAGTGGGTGTCCAGGATGCAGCCTCCGGCAGGGGCTGTGGGGTGGGCGGGCACAGTCTGGAGCCAGGTCATGATACGGCCAGGCCTGGGCCCTCTGGGTCCACGTGCAAAGGCCTGGGCATGGCCAAGGGGTCACGGAGTAGATCCTGGTAGTAGAGCCTTGATTTTGTCATCTGTGAAGGGGGTATCGCTTAATGATGAAGCGCTCTTAAGTCAGCAGGTGTGAGTTTAAATTTAGATGGACTGAGTCTTGAATTCTCCAGATGTAAAGGGGATTCAAGGATGGAATGATATACGGTCATCCCTTGTTATCTGCAGGGATCAGTCTCAGGACCTGCTGCGGATACCGGAACCCGCGAATCCGCAAGTCTGCGGTTCTGCATCCGCAGATTCAACCAGCGGCAGAGGACGTAGTACTGCAGCACGATTTATTGAAGAAGATCCGCGTGTAAGTGGACAAGCACAGTTCACACTCCTGTTGTTCAAGGGACAGCTGTACTATTAAGGTGCCTTTCAGAGAGTAGATTCTCAGCAGCGTGGTTAGTTTGAGTCCGGGGAAGGCTAAATGCCCGTGGTGGGGACAGAGGCACTGGCCTTCCCTCTGAATCCATTCTCCACACGAAGAGCTGACCCACCAGCCCCCTTCCATGTGTCCAGCCTCAAAGGTGCTGCCTCAAGATGGTGTGGGGCAAATGTCAGAGTGTCTCCAGGGGCCCCTAGGGGATGTCCCCTTGGGCAATGGTTCTCCGCAGACTGGACCCCAGATAGCAGACAGAGCTGGTAACTCACAAACCCAGACCCTTACAGACCCAACCCTTGGCAGAGATGTGAAATTTCGTGCCACGTGGAGGGAAAGGGGCCACGCGGGATGGACCGCATCTGTTGGGATCCAAGCAGATTTGGCCAGAGCCACCGCCCAGCAGAGAACAAGCGGGCTCCACGTTGGTGACTGCCTTTCCATCCCATAGGCAGTTGGGTTAGCGCTGCCATGAAGGGGACAAAGGAAAACCCTCAGAAGAAATGTCAATGGGAAAACATCCAGGGACGACGATTCTGCACGAAGAACTTAGACACCCAAAATAGGCCAAACAAGGGCAAGCAGAATGGGTAACACCTCTCTCCCTCCGAAGCTTTTCTCAGTAGAACCACTAGACATTGCAGGGAGAACCAACCTCAGATCACAAGGCGTAATAGCTGGTGAGGCTTCACACGTTAGTAACCTATTTGCAGATGGTGTTAGATTTCAGGCATCCGCCCCACCCTGGGAACACGCACTCCTGCAAACGGTCTACCCACCTGCGCACAAAATGGGGCTTGGAAATGAATTACCCTGGACCCAGACTGGTACCAATGCAAATACCTAAGCTCATTCTCACCTTCTGTCCAAATGAGGGAGGTGACAGGATCATGAGCACTGAGAATGAGCAGGTTTTCTTCCCTCTCCAACGCAATT